TAATCCACTCTTCACACTTCAGCTAAAGAGATCGACCTAAATCACATGTCTGAAAGCCCTCAATTATTCTCTCACGTTGCTAGGACAAATTCCAAATGCCTGTATATAGTCCAGAAATCCCTATGATATCTGATCCCTGTTTATCTCACCAGTTTTATCTCTCCTTACTTCCCATCTAGCATGCTGTGGTCTTAGTAGACTTAGTATCTATTTCTTGTTTATAATTATTCCTATCTCCTTTTGCGTATATATTCTGTTTCTTTTTCTTCCACGTCTTTTGTATAGTGATGAGAATAATTATTTTATATGAGATCAATAGCTAATAATCACACCAGGCAGTTACGATATGCTAGGCACTATTCTACACATTTTACACATATTATCTCTTTTAATTTTCACAAAGTCTTTGAGGTAGAAATTGCTATTTCCTTCCACACATGAGAAAACATGGCTTTCCAGGCACCATGGTATATAAAAGCTCAAATCTCCTGAGCCCAGTTTTCCTCTGAATTACATAGGATCTTAGGATGCTAAGGCCATGATGTAAGGAGTGGGTAGTCTAGGCTCTCAGCTGGACCTTGAATACCCTATCTAATTTTAAATGGTCTACATAGGAAGTCAAAAAAAAATCCCTCTCTCTCTTTATACTCTGAAAAGAGTAGCATACTTTTTCCCCTAGAGAATTAGCTTCTTATCCAACTCTATCTGTTCCTTCAAAATAATCAACAAATATATTTAAACCAAACACCTTTTTAAGACGGTGAGGGGGAGGTAGTTTTAAAGCACAAGATGCAGCCATGTTATAAAATTGCTTTTTTTCTGTTATAATGAGCCGTATATAATATTTCAAAGTTAGATGTAAGAATAGTAATGATCACTAATAAATAAGGCATGTAAGAAATTTAAATGTGTACTTGAGTCAATCTAACATCATTCATTCCAGTAAAACTTACAAAGTCAGTGTCAAATAACAAGGATGATTTAGTTCCTTTTTTAAAAGAAAAAAATTCACTAATGAGGGTGCATTTAAATAAATGCTGACATCTTACTCCAGAAAGAATTCTCCACATTTGTTTCCACAAATATAAGTTCTTATATTACCTCTGTATTGTGTTTTTCATAAAGTCTTTGAAGATGTGGTTTCTTCCTATAGTTATTTAAAATTAGCCATTCATGAAACAAGCTTCTCATCCTTGTTTCCACACTTCTGAGACAGGCAGGGATCACTTATATCCTATTGACAGGTTTATGTAAAAGAAAGTCTACACCAAAAGCTTTTCATTCAAAAATACACGTGTATGTGTGTATATGTATATTTTATGCATATGTATATACAAACATACAATTAAATGTCTTTATTTCAGATTTTGCATAATCAAAACTTTAATTTTGGGCTTATCTGGGTTAAATTTGCTAGGCACATGACCAAGAAAATTCTCAGAAGAATAAAGATTTCTTGACCTTTTTTAAAGTTTCAAATACTTTAACTATTGGAAGTCAATATTAACTTTAAAGAAAAGTTATTTCTGAACGAGTGTGCTGATGAATCATATTTAAAACTTCTGAACCATTCAGACACCTCCCATGGTCATATTCTGAATCTTGTCATTACCCCCAAATCATTCTTATCTCAAAATTGCTAATTCAAGCATAGTGTTTCTTCCTAATCACGGTCTTCTCCTTTCAGCTGGCTTTATCAACTTCTTCCACTATCATCTTTTATTAGCTTGGATTCTTTCTCACTGCATGAGCCCCTTTCTGTCCTCTCCCTTCTCCCTATTTAACTTAGATTCCATGTCCATTATTTCAGCACTCTTTACTCCTCTTTCACTTGGTCACATCTGCATATCGTAACTATAGCCACTAGTGAATTTTCTTTTTCCATGTCTGTACTTGGGCACCTCTTTGCTGCTGGAGAATATTAACACAGGGGAATTTGGACCAGCTTCATTTGGGAATTCAGCACTTCCCAGTAATCCCAATATTTTTCTCTCACCAGTCTTCTTCCTACTCTCTGCATCTTTTGATGGAGACCTCCACTGCCCTCAAACCTGCGTCTTCTGCAGATGAGTTCACATTCCACCTTAGAGGGAGAGAAAAAAGAGAAAGTTCTCTTAATTATTTGCTGCCAAATACACACTAACATTTGTCCCCATCCTGCGTTATTGCAGAAAACCAGGCTTCTCTCTTCTTACTTAAGACCCTCCCTTCCCTTCTGAATTATGTTATGCCGATTTCTCTCCATGTTGCTCTTGGAGCTTCAAATTCTGCTCTCTTCTGTGTTGTGACCATCAGCGTTTAAACATTCTCAAGTCTCACCTATTAAAAGAACTTCTTTCTTCATTCCACTTTTCCACTCCAGTTACTACCCATTCACTCTCCAATCTGGTGTTCATAATTGATTTAAAAATATTTCTGAGTCGACAACTTAAACTTTAAGAAGCAGGAGGCAGCTATATTCCCCACACGAAGCCCATGTAGTGAATTATTTCTCATGCGAAGTTTTACATCCAAAATTGACTAGTTTATAAACAAGAGAGGGCCCACTCATTTAGGAAGAGATCGAGAAGGTTAAAGTAAGACAACTGAAAAGTTTAAGGCGCTCATTTTGGAATACAAGACATCTGTTAGCTGATAATGCCCTCTTGATGTGTCTGGATTTTTGCTGTTGTTCCCAAGGAAAATACTATGCCAGTCATTGGATTTGATCTTATTCATTACATGGCAACTTAGAACCTGTTCTTTTCTACATCAATTAAAAGTTATTATTTGCCTATTAATAACAGTGGCCTTTAACTGAAGAACATTAATTCTTGACAATCTCTCTTGCTATTATCATAACCTTGAAAATCTGGAGTGAAAAGAAAAAAAAATGAGGTTATATGTTATTGTAAATAACTGCATGTAGAAAAGAACATCAATTTTTATATGAAGAAAAATTAAACACTTTATCCAGACCAGAAAAACTGAAAATATATATTACCTCTGACATAAATTTATAATATATTAACACAAAATTTCTCACAGTCATTTATGAGTATAGCTTTCTGTCTTTTGCAGATTTTTTTTGAAAGTTATGAGCTGAAATGCTTACTATTCTAAAAAGATCGCTGCTCAGTATTGCTCTTAAATTAATTGACTTAGGAGAAGAAAGTTCACAGAAACTATGAGAAATCAGACAACTTACACAAATTGATAAAAAATATATTAGAACTTTAAGCCATACTTTATGAGTAATATCTTTATATTTGTATTTCCTGTTTATTTTAATAATTTCTCTTACATTTTATATTTAAGGTATTTTTATTGGTACAAATTCATATTTTAAAAAACGATAACTAAAAGTGTGAGAAATATTAATATTCCACTGTGTGCAGATTTAATCAACTTGTTTTATCTGAGAGCCAGTCCTAGATAGCTGGGAGGCTGGGGAAGATCATTTTGTCCCTGGTAATAACTGGCCCCAAATACTTTTGGCAATTTTCATGGAAAGCTCAGAAATTCCCTTTTTTTCAGAGCTCATCAAAGAGTTCACAGGTATGTTGACAGGAAAACCACTTTAACCACCTAGAAGCTATCTCTGTTTGGTCTTAATTTTCTTTCTCCTGCGCGTATGATGTGAAAAATATGCCTTAAATTTCCTAAGACATTCTAATCCCAATTTCTATGGACGTTTATGTTTTTGCTTGTGTGAAAATTCGAAGAGCTTGCCACAGCTGTTCTGGAGCTGGGTCAAAGAATATGCATTCTCCAAAACGTCCATTTCACAAAATAATACATGGTTTCTCTGAATGAATGCATTTAGAGGAGGCACGTGCACGGTGTTCCACTGCACGTCGAGCTTTTCTTTATAGTGGTTGTGTAGTAAAAGAAGAAACTATCTAACTTGCTTGATTTCTAAAGTAGAATTTCTGCTTCATATTTTGTTATATTGAATATATTTTGTGAGTTGTAAAGTTTTATTTTTCTAAGAATGAGTCTATTATATGCTTGAATAGAAAATTTAAAATAATATTACCATGGCTTTTTGTTAGATTATTTAAATTCCATATTTTCCCAGTGCCTCCACTATATCCAGGGAGCAAATGGGCTACTTCAAACATTATATTTAAATCAGCGTTGTTTTTGTGATGATTTCTGGTGATAATGGTGAACCAATCTAGTTCATCTTTCTTTCCTCAGAGCAACGTTTATAAACATCTGTCTAAATAAACGTTTCTATTGAAAGAAGCTCAATTGGCACAAACACAACATTTATTTTGCCAGTTCAAATAGAGGAGAAGGAAGTTCTGTGACAAGTGAAGACTGATAGAACTCTCTTATGCTTTTTCGTGTTCTGATTACCGGCACATACACATTCACGAAAATTATTACTATTATTATGACAGGAATGTACAAATTCCTTCTTACCCCTTAATTTGGGGCAACTTAATTTGTTGAGGAAGTTGAAGATCAGAACCTACTAGGAATTTTCAATAAACCACGTACGAGAACTAGAGTCCAGATATTCTGCCCCTCAAACCAGTGCGTTCTTCAAGTTGCTGCCTCCCTAGAAGTCGGCTGTGCTTTTTCTTGAGCTCTGAGCGCAGGCTTATAAGGCTGTGTGAGAACCTGAGCACCACTTAGTAAGTTATTGCTTCTGTTTGTAAAACAACCCAGGAGTGGACTGTGGTAATGTTTTTGGACAAGGTGCCTGATTTCCTCCTGGGGTATAGCAGAGGCTGGGAAAATGTGGTCATGCATGTTTCAGAGTGGCTCATTTTCAAGAGACAGACTTACTGGTCAGCTATTAAACTGCCCTCAGCCTGATGCTTTTGGACGCAGTGAGTATGTGTGTCATGGTGAAATAAAAAAGGACACCAAGTCTTTCTCATATCTGAGCTTTTGCACATCTGAAATGATGCTCTTGTTTTATTCCATGGCTTTCTTTGGATTGAAATGTATCCATTAACATTTGTGTGCTTTTCTTTTCCATCCGTCCTTCTCCATCTCATGAAAAGCACATCAGGGTAAGTTGAATCACAATGGCTGCTGAACATGTTTATTTTCAGCACCATCCTATTTTTCTTTTATCTTTAGTATTTCTCTTTTCAGTTGTAACACAAGCTGCACTGCCTCTGACGTAAAATGAAAATTATGAAGTGTACTCATTTCCACACCATACAAGGAATCATTGGTTCAGAGAAATGTTCACGTTCAAATTAATTATGGTGGCTTTTCAGGCACTTCTATTTCTTTGGTTCTATGAGACACACATCAAAGGACATTCCCAACGTCACTTCCCCTAGTTCTCAAGTCATTCTCTAGGAGTTAGTGTGGCCTTCAATGAGGCTTAAGAAATAGTGTAGGCCTCTTCAGTCCTTGAGACTGTGCCACATGACTGCATCTGCCTGTGGGTTCCCCGGTGATTTGTGGAGCTCAACCAGCATTATAGTCAAGAGACAAACTTGTCATTTACTAGAACTTTCTCTTAGATGAAAAGGGTTAAATGCTGGGTCTTCTCCAGTAGAACTTTTACACCTAGATTCCAAAGTCGTCATCGGTTTTGGACGTTATTTTCATTGTTTTCTGTACTGCTGGTTAATTTTTAAAGCTTTAAATATCTATACTACTCGGATTATCATTTTAAATTTGAAATCCTACTCTTTGAAATAAAATTAAAATATGTTATCCTTTCCTAAAACAAATTGGGCTCCAAAGTAAAACAAGTATTATGCATATAATATTTATAAATATTTGCTTTAGTGTCAAGTCTTGCATTGGCAACATGGTGAGCTGTTTAAACACCTTGTCTGGGGAGAGGTATTGCTTTTCAATTCAAAGTAAAAAATATTGGGAGGAGAAATAAAATGGCTCCAATGAGATACAATTATCCAAGAAGCTACGGAGCATGTCACCAATTGGTTGTGTGAATATTTTATAAACCAATACAAGGCCATGTGCTTGGAAATACTACTTAGTTCATTAGAATCGTTTATATTTGATATTTTTTTCTGGCTCTAATTTTAAGTTACAGTTACTACTACTAATTATTTAGCAATACAGTATTGATTTCAGCTAGGATAATTTATGATATTAAGGAAAGCTCTAGAAGGTGTTCTTAAAAATGAAAAGTAAGCTGTGATTAGAATACCATTCAACTATGCTGGCCAAATGCAAGTTGTAAGCTCTTATTTTTTAAAAATAATAAATATTCTGACGCTGGATTTTTAAACCATTATTTTAATCTCATCATGTAATATTGGTCTTCCATTTTCTAATGATTTTTAAGTTTCATGAGGAATGTAATCCCAAGAAATGAAACTTTATGTCCCTGTCCCTTTTCAAAATAAATATTGAAAAATAATGAGTGCATAATGCCTTGTCATTTATTGATTAAGAAACTGATATAATTGCTTCAATTCTAAAATTCAATTTCTTGTTGTCTTGTACAGACTTCCAGAACTTAAACATTTCAGGACCCCAAAACCTTTTTCCCAGTACAATTGCTAAAAGAAAGCTTAGTAGGATAAAGTGTTAGGAGAAGATAATGCAGTCATAGTGAAGATGTGGGAGGGTTTGAGGTGGAAAGAGCATTGAATTAGGAAGCAGAAGACAAGAGTTTAAGCCCCAGCTATTCCATTTGTTTGCTGCATACTGTTGAGTGATTGACACATTCTCTGTACTTACTAATATGACTGTCAACTTCCTGCTCTTCACAGGAGTATGAGAAAATTTGTATAATCTCAGACGCATGGCAGCTATAAACTTCAAATCTGAGTTAAAGAGGCCTTAAAATTAGATGAAGCACTAAAGCAATCTAGTCTAAATGATGTCAAATAACCTGAAAAATCACCAGCCGTCCTCCAGTGAGTCCCCAGTTTACCATCAGCAGGTGTCTGGGGAGAACAGACCACAGTGTCTTGCAAAAGTGAAACTGTTACATGAAAAGTAATACAGGCCCCTCTAGTCTTCAATAACAGCCTGAGTAATTCTATTGCTCTGTCACATTTGTGCATGTGTGTGTGTTTATACCTTTTTAATGGTTTTAAAAGTGATTAAATTCAAAATAAAGTGAGTAGAGAAATTACAGAAATCCCAACTCAAATTCACAAATAAATTAAATTTCTTTTTTGAGACTATACCCTCCATCTCAGAGCAGCTTGAAGAAGAAAGATTTCAATCGGAATGAACTTTGGTTTTAATATAATCAAATTATTTTAATTCTAGACAACCTTGCTTGTGTTCTTGGAATCTAAATAGAACACCACTTCAATGTGTAATGGATGTTTATGCACAACTTCATGTGAAAATGGGCCATAATAGGACACACAAACACATGTACACTTGTGTTTGCACACACACAAAATCACAGTATGCTGCACATTCAAAATCAAGTCAACCTTGTTAATGTTGAATTTGAAACTTTTAACTGTATGGAGCTAAATATGTATATTCAGGCAATCAATGTTCTAAAGCAGCTGATGGGATTTGTGACATACTCTGTTTAGAATAATTATGTTAATTAAGATATGTATTTCCAGCTTGCAGAGGTTAAAAAAAATTGGATGGCACCAAATTTTGTTCACATCTGGTGACCAGAATTTAAAACAGTTTCTCATATATGTAATTTTGATTTTCATAGAATTTATCAACAAGTATGGATTCCTGAATGATAAGATTATAGCCCCTTGTCTGATTGAAATTTGAGGATGTCATATCCTGTTTACCCTCCTGGCTGTTGAATTTTAATTGAAGAAGATACATTTTACAGTTAATAACGACATGAATTCTATGGAAGTTTACTGCTAGTGTTATGTAAGGAAGATTTATTCTCTGTGCTACACTGTTAAGAAGTAGATTCAACTGTCAAATTATTTTGACTTATGTTTTATTCTTGGTTCTTATTGAGCCACATATTTATTTCTTCTGGTTATATCAATAACTAAGTACTCGTCACGTGCCACAGTAAATGAATAAGTCCTAAGGATAAATTTTTCAGCCAGAGAATTACTTTGTATTACAATTACATAAAATCAATTAAACTAAAACAAATTACAACAAATTCAGCTTTTCCATCCCAATTAGATAAATGAGGCTAACCTCCTTCCTCTGGCCAGTATGTATAACCTGATGTTAGCAAAGAATAACCAGAAAAGAAAAGTCAGTTTTTTCTTTCTCTTATAATATTGAAGATTAAAATGTGTGAGAATGAGGGTGGAGAGACTATATACATTAACCAGGAGGTCAAATAAATATATGCCACTTCTAAATATAAATGAACCACAAGAAAAGATAGAAAAGTGATTGACAATCATTTCATTTAACACTAACAATGAAGTGGATGTTATTGTCCTCCTATCTCAGTTAGGAAAAGTTCAGAGAGGTTGATTACCTAAAGGATGGTATAGGGGTTAAGGGAGCTGACTCTGCGGCCAGGTTGTTAGGGCTCAACTTCTGGCTCTGCCACCTGCTGGTTCTGTGACTCAGGTGGTCTCTGTTCTTCAACGTCTTCACCTGCAAGTGGGTATCAGTATGTATCTTATTGGGTTGTTGTGAAGATTAAATGAGTTAGGATAGCACATCACACATAGTAAGTGATGAAAGCACGTTAACTATTACTATCTGGAATCCCAACCCTAATTTGTCTACGCGCAGAAACTTTGCTTTTTCAAACCCCAACATGATATCTCAGAAAAATATGAAACAGTTCATCAGAACAAGAGAGCACCTTAGATAAATCTCTATTATGGTACTTACTGCATTAAATTGTAGTAAAACTTATTTAATTACATTTAATTTTTAAAAAAATTTTCAATGAAAGGTATAATAAGTACGATAACTGGAGTATATACAAGTTATAGTATTTGTGTAGAAGAGAGAATTCTGCCTGAGAGAGGTCTTGCAATCTTAACAGGAAGGATAAAGCATGAGCTGTGTCTGAAGGATAAGCATGAGTTTGCCACGATTGTGATGCAAAGAAGGATGTTCCAGGAAGGAGGAAAAGGCATATACAAAGTCGTGGAGGGTAAGACAGGATGAAGTATTTGGAGAATGACAAATATTTCGGTACTGATTGAGCAAAAGAAGCTGGGGAGACTGCCAGAAGCAGATCACTAAGGGTCTTTTCAGTCATGCTAAGATATTTGACCTTTATTTTTAGGACAATGAGGAGGTGTTTAAGTAGGCAAGGCTTATAAAATATTTGTGTTTAGAAAAGTCTCACTGGAGGTTGTAAAAAGTGTGTGGAGGGGCAGTTATCGAACAAGAGACAGAGAGACTTGGCAGTCAAGGAAAGTTCTCATTCCTTTTCGAGGTGCAATAAGTAGTTAGATGTTAACAAAAACCTAGACTACTTAAAAAGCTCCCTATAACCAAGGATCCTAGATGACTGTCAATGCTGAGCATTTTGTGGATTACAATATAGCAATTGTTCAGAAGATATGCTTAGCTAAAGCATGCAAATAAAAATGTGTAGTGCAGTGGAAGAGCAAACTCATCTCCAGGACTTTAGAGTCTTGGGAGGGAGAAGAGGCCCATGCATATGGCGCTAATCACCAAACTCTATGGTGATGCTGACACCCTAAGATTCCAGCTTTTAAATAATGAAAGAGTCATTATGGACTAGGATGATCACAAATAAAAAGAAAGTTCATGATTTAGGCAAACTGTAAGATTTTGCTAGTCGAAGAAGGTGGGGAAGAACTTACCAGCTCTGGAAAATGGTACTTGCAAAGGTGGAATTGGTCATGCACAAGTTATTTGCCCAAGTAAGTTTTCATTTCTGATTAGAAGTAAGGGAAGATGATTAGAAAGGTGAATCAAGACTAAACCAACTTTCATCTTTGTAATCCATGTTGAGGGTGACACTTTAAGCATTTGAGCAACCAGTGAAGAGTTTTCAGAGGACAGTGCCATGATAAATTGCTGTTTCCTTTGTGCAAGTCAGTGTATAATCACAATACGTATATGTTCTCATTTAACTCTCATATCAACCCTCTGAGGTAGGTGTTGTTGTTAACTTCATTTC